AACCTCAATCATGTCACCCCTCAGTCATTGTTTCTCCAAGCTAAAGAGCCCTAAGCGCCTTAACCTTTCCTCATAGGGAACGTGTTCCAACCCTTTTATCATTCGAGTTGCCCTTTTCTGCACTTTTTCCAAAGCTATAATATCCTTTTTAAGGTGTGCTCAGTGGCACCTTGCATGCAGAAGGTCCCAGGTTCAATCCCCGGCATCTCCAGTTAAAAGGACCAGGAAGGAGGTGATGCGAAAGATCTCTGCCTGAGACTCTGGAGAGCAGCAGCCAGTCTGAGCAGACAAAACTGACCTTGACAGACCAAGGGCCTGATTCCGTATTCATGTATTCCCCAAACTGCAACCCCACTGCAACCCCGTCCCCAACACTGCAACCCCAACAACCACTTCATTCTCCTTGAATCTCTCTTCCCCTTGGTTTGGCCACTAGGAAGGCCAGATTGTACTCCTCAGGGGGGTCCTATTCAATTCAGGGACCCCCTTTTTGGAGCACTTCCTGTCGCTTTTCTCCTATCCTTTCCTGTTTCATGGAAGTCTGAGCACCCCGGCCTGCCCCCTTCCTTTTCTCCCACCATGTCCAACCTCACACTCCTTGGGACCGGGAGAAGGAAAGCCGCTTTGCCTGCCCGGAGAGACCGGCCATCTCCAAAGATCAGTGTTCCCTCTAAGCCGAGTTAGCGTGAGCTAGCTCACAGGTTCTTTTAGCCTCCGGCTCACAGATTTTTGTCTCCGCTCAGGAAGGAGGGCTCCAAAGCAAACTCATTTAAGCAGTCGCCAAATGGCTCGCTCACCACTTTAATGCCGGCAGCTCACAAAGTAGAATTTTTGCTCACAGGACTCCACAACTTAGAGGGAGCATTGTCAAAGCAGAGAGACGCTGACCCGGAAAGGCAGAAGGAATGTGCCTTTTTCAGGGTCCCGGAGAATGCCAGGCGGCCCGATAGATCCCATGGCCCCGGGAAAGAGAGACTCATCCCGCAGTGTTTCCATCTCCAGAGCAGGAAATGACTTCTGTTTGCTCTGCGGGGGGGGGGGGCTCCTCTTTGATCTGTGGAATCTCGATCCAGCATTCTGTTTCATTAACTTCGAAGCCTCTCCTCTGGCTTGCCTTTGCCTTGCTCGGATGCACGTCGGAGGAATGCCATGGTTCTTTTCACACGGCGTATTACCCCGGAATATTCACTGCCTGGGGGGTGGCTAACCATCTGGGTGCACCTGTGGGGACAATAGGAGAAAGGCACCAGCTGATCAGATGCTCTCTCAGTCCCACCGACCTTACAGGCAGTGTTCCCTCTAAGCTAAGTGAGTGCCAGCTAGCTCACTGGTTTTTTTAGCCTCCAGCCTACAGATTTTTGCCTCAGCTCAGGAAGGATGAAGGAGCTGCGGTGGCTCAGGTGGTTAAGGCGCTGAACTGCAGGCTGTGGAAGGCCGGTAGTTCGGCAGTTCAAGACCCGGGTGCGCCGCATGACGGAGTGAGCTCCCATCTCTAGTTCCAGCTCCTGCCAACCCAGCAGTTCGAAAGCAAGAAATTGCAAGTAGATAAATAGGGACCACTTCGTTAGGAAGGGAACAGCGTTCCGTGCGCCTTGGTGTTTAGTCATAAGGACGTAAGAACATAAGAGATGCCATCTATACCTTGTGGCTAATAGCCACTGATGGACCTCTGCTCCATATGCTTATCTAATTCCCTTTTGAAGCCGTCCATGCTTGTAGCCGCCACCACTTCCTGTGGCAGTGAATTCCAAGTGTTCATCACTCTTTGGGTGAAGCCAGCCACATGACCACGGAAACGTCTTCGGACAGCGCTGGCTCTTCGGCTTTGAAACGGAGATGTACACCATAACCCTAGAGTCGGACTCGACTGGCTTTCGAGCAAGGGAACCTTTACCTTTTACAGGAAGGATGGCTCCAGAACAAACTAATTTATGCAGTAGCCAAATCGCTCGCTCACAGCTTTAATGCCAGCAGCTCACAAAGTAGAATTTTTGCTCACAAGACTCCAGGGCTTAGAGGGAACATTGAATGCAAGAGTCGTTCAGAGGTGGTTGGCCCTTGCCTGCCTTTGTGTAGCAACCCTGGAGTTCCTGGGTGGTCTCCCATCCAAGTACTAACCGTGGCCGACCTTGCTTAGCTTCCGAGATCTGATGAGATCGAGCTAGCCTGAGCCATTCGGGTTAGGGCTACCTTGAATTAGGACCATTCCAAACAACATGAAAAGCTATCTCTCTCTGCCTTTAGGTGGAAAGGAGCCGTCGTGAACTGGAACGGCACGGAACCCATCCTGTGATCGACCGACCCGCCCCGACCGACCGAAAAGAAGCCCAGTTCCCATACTCAGAGGAAGCCGAACCAGCCAATGCACCTTCTTTTGTTGCCTGCGACGGGACCGGAGGACAGGGGAGGGGAGGGGAGATGGCACGGTTTCATCTCGGGCTCCATCCATTGTGTTAGCGGCAGAGGCACGGAACTGGAGCCGCTTCCCTTTTCTGTGCACCGCGTGTGAGAAAGCGGAGGACCAACCTTGACGGCCAAAAAACGAGCGGCCGGGGAAGAGCCGTAAATCTGTCCACAGCTCCGTCTCTGCCTCCACTCCTTTGTGTCCTGCCATTGTCTCCCGAGGATCAACCAAACAATGCTGACGACGCCCACCTTTTCTCTTTTCAGCCTTGGCCTGCTTTTCCGCCACCTCCATTCTAAATCAAGGCGAACCGAAGCGTAGACCCCCCCCCCCCCACGGACGGAATCCTTCTTCCGAGCTGCGTTTCTGTGGGGCTCCCAAAATGCTTTCGACCACCCAAATTGGTGTCAACTCCTTGTTCTGGAAACTTGGACTTCTGGTTAACGGGGGAGGGGGGGATGGGACTCAGACGTGATTTCCTCGCACTCTTAATCCCGCTGGGTTTCTTTCCTTTTCTGGGCCACACGATATTGCCGGCAATGAGAGTCAGAGGTTACCATTCTAACCATTTAAAATATGATAGTATAAGCGTTCAAAGAAAGAAAAGAGGCCCTGGTAAGCATGATAATACCTTTAAAAGAGGGAGGGAGGCCACAAGTAATTTGCATCTTCGTATGCCTATTTGCCCCGGGGAATTTCCCACAACCACCCTTGTCTGTATGGTCTGTTGGAACTTGGGATATTTGCAGAAGCCAATCTCGAATTTTCCCACCCCCGCTGGTGAACCCCATTGAGAAGGGCACGGAAATGGAAGACACGATAGCCCAGATTGGTACGTTTGGTTCTGATCAATGTTACGGCACAGAGAGGGGGGTGTCAGAATTTGTTGTAGGGGTACCTATGGAGAACGGGATTCCTATTCAAGGCTTCAGTCAGAGGGAATGTTCTATAAAATGCATACTCTTGAAAACATTTATAAAATACAAAAAGAAGTCAGAGGGAGGTGAGATGGCTCCTTCGGTTGCTCAAGTCCACGAATTACCTCCCAAGCGGTGGACTAGAAGACGAGTCCGCCATCTTTGTCTGATGGGTTCTTCGGTCATTCTTAGAGTCTACCCAGTTTCATCTCCCAGGTAGATCGTGAGTCCTTGTGAACTGTGGGCAGGTAGCGTTTGACCTGCACTCTTATTCTGGGTGATGTTAGTTGAGGAGTTGTGGGTTGGGGGATGGTAGAGACCAGGTTGTATAATCCCCACCTGTGCCTTAGAGCTTCCGCAATGAAGTTTGCCAATGCCTGTTTCAGCTACGTTTTGCTTATTGTTTTGTTTTTTGTTAATCGGAACAAAAATTCACGTTATTTATGAGCATTATTTCAATAAAAGGTAGTTTGGATAATTCTCCTGGTCATTTCTGAACACGCCCCCCCCCCAGTGCTGTAGCCAATAAGAAGTGTTCCCTCTAAGCCGAGTAAGTGTGAGGTAGCTCACAGATTTTTAACCTCCGGCTCACACATTTTTGACTTAGCTCAGGAAGGAGGGCTCCAGAGCAAACTAATTTATGCAGCCGCCAAATCGCTCGCTCACAACTTGAATGCCAGGAGCTCACAAAGTAGGATTTTTGCTCCCAGGACTCTACAGCTTAGAGGGAGCATCGGTTAGTAGCAATGTTCCCTCTAAGCTGTGGAGTCTTGTGAGCAAAACTTCTACTTTGTGAGCAACTGGCGTTAAAGTTGTGAGCAAGCGATTTGGCTACTGCATAAATGAGTTTGCTCTGGAGCCATCCCTCCTGAGCTGAGACAAAAATGTGTGAGCCAGAGGCTAAAAAACTGTGAGCTAGCTCACACTAACTCAGCTTAGAGGGAACACTGGTTAGTAGCTATTTCAAAGGGTCACTTTGTAAATAAAAAACAACCATTTAAAAGGATTAGTTGCTGTAGATTTTCCAGGTTGTGTGTCCGTGGTCTTGGCATTGTAGAACCTGATGTTTCGCCAGTAGCTGTGACTGACATCCTCAGAGGTATAACACAGAAAGATGGAGTACTCTCTGTGTCAACATGATACAGAGACGACACCTTGACACAGAGAGTACTCCCATCTTTCTGTGTTATACCTCTGAGGATGCCAGTCACAGCTACTGGCGAAACGTCAGGTCCTACAATGCCAAGACCACGGCCATACAGCCCGGAAAATCTGCAGCAAATAATGAACTCTGGCAATGAAAGCCTCCGACAACATATTTAAAAGGATTGTTGGTCGTTTATGCTTTTCATCAGCAGAAAATGAACAAATGCAATGTTAATTCTTGACTGGATGGCCCAATGTTAAGCCAAAAACAACGGAAGAACCAGAGAGACAGACCAGTTATTTGTAGGACGGGTAGTACTAGTCCACGAACTCCAGAAATGGAATTTTAAAAAACATGTTCAAAATATACTTGATCCTTACTTGTGGGGCTGGTTTTGTGATTACTGTGCCACATTTCCAACACGTCGAGTCTCTCAGAGCCCTCTCAGCCCCACCTACCTCACAGGGTGTCTGTTGTGGGGAGAAGGAGGGAAGGCGATTGTAAGCCGCTCTGAGACTTCGAGTGAAAAAAAGGTAAAGGTAAAGGTTCCCTTGCTCAAAAGCCAGTCGAATCCGACTCTAGGGTTGCGGTGCTCATCTCCGTTTCAAAGCCGAAGAGCCAGCGCTGTCCGAAGACATTTCCGTGGTCATGTGGCCGGCATGACTAGATGTCAAGGCGCACGGAACACTGTTCCCTTCCCACTGAAGTGGTACCTATTTCTCTACTTGCAGTTTCTTGCTTTCGAACTGCTAGGTTGGCAGGAGCTGGAACTAGAGACGGGAGCTCCCTCCGTCATGCGGCACACTCGGGTCTCGAACTGCTGAACTACCGCCCTTCCACAGCCTGCAGTTCAGCGTCTTCACCACTTGAGCCACCGCAGCTCCTCGAGTGAAAAGAGGGGGTATAAATCCAACCTCTTCTCTCTCTTCTTCTTCTCTCTAGCCATTGATAGACCTACCCTCCATGATAAGTCTATCAATGGCTCCCAAAGCTCATACCCTGAATAAAACTCTCAGTCTTAAAGGTGCCACTTGACTCAAACTTTGTTCTAATGGCTACGTTGATAGGCTTCTCCATTGCCCAGTACCTCTGCTAGATTCAACCAGCTTATTGTCTGGAAACGAAAATTATGACTGCGGTATCTTTACTTCCTTTGTTTCTTGCTGAAATCCACCACCAAGGCCAGCTGTATCGAATAGCGCAGTCCCTCTTCCTAACAATGCCAGATCCCCCTTGGCTGTGTAAACTGTGGAAGGCGGTCCCAGCAGGGGTCCCATGTAATGGGACTTCCGATAGACTAGCAGCCCTGGTGCCTTTGTTTTCATGAGATGTAGCCAGCTGTGAGCTGCCGAAGAAGGAAGTTGTTTGGGGGGGGGGATATGGAATGGGGATTTGAAAAGAAACAAGTCCCTTCGTGGCGATTGGGAGCGACTGCACGAACAGACCCAGGCCTAGAAGAGACCTTGTCCTGCATCCTGATTTGAGCAGGGTCAGACGGATGCTTCCAGGAGACTCAACGTGGCCTTGCCAACTCTAACTTGGGAAATTCCTGGAGAAGAAGAAGAGAAGAAGAGATTGGATTTATATCCCGCCCTTCACTACCTAAAGGAGTCTCAGAGCGGCAAGCCGTAGTTCTGATAAGAGCTGTTCTTGAAAAAGAGCAGTTTCTGTCAAGAGCTCTCTCAGCCCCACCGACCTCACAGGGTGTCTGTTGTGGGGAGGGGAAGGGAAAGGAGTTTGTAAGCCGCTCTGAGACACCTTTGGGTAGTGAAGGGCGGGGTATGAATCCAATCTCTTCTTCTTCTCTTCTTCTTCTTCTTCTCCTTTCCATTCCCCTCCCCACAACAGACACCCTGTGAGGTAGGTGGGGCTGAGAGAGAACTGCTCTTTTTTGAGAACAGCCCTGGCAGAACTATGGCTTGCCCAAGGTCATCCAGGAGGTGTGAGTGGAGGAGTGGGGCATCAAACCCGGTTCTCCCAGATTACAGTCCGCGCACTCAACCACTACACCAAACTGGCAGGGTCAGATGGATGCCTCTAGGAGATTCAACTTGGCTTGCCTACTCAAACATGGGAAATTCATGGAGATTTGGGGTGGAGCCTTGGGAGGGTGGGGTTTGAGGAGGGACCTTAGTGGGGTATAATGCCACCAAGTCCATCCCCCATAGCAGCTTTTTTCCTCCAGAGGAAGTAACCTGGAGATAAGTTGTATCAGTGTTCCCTCTAAGCTGAGTTAGTGTGAGCTAGCTCACAGTTTTTTAGCCTCCAGCTCACACATTTTAGCCTCAGGAAGGATGGCTCCAGAGCAAACTGATTTATGCAGCACCCAAATCGCCTGCTCACAACCTTAATGCCAGTGGCTCACAAAGTAGGATTTTTGCTCACAGGACTCCACAGGTTAGAGGGAACACTGGAATACCTGGAGATCTCCAGCCCCCACCTGGAGGTTGGCACCCCTAAGCCCTGTTTCCCTTTTATGATTGGTTCCAGCATCTGGCGCTCAGGAGAGCATTCGTTTCAGCGTCTGGAGGCTGTGTTTTAGACGTCACGGCGTGCAGCCAGTGATTAACCTTTATCTATGTCTCTTGAACCTTTATCTATGTCCCCCCCCCCCCCGAAGAGCCCGGTAACATTCCTACAGGCCTTCTGTCTTGAATTAAAAACTTCTCTGGAAGATCTTTGAGTTGGATTGCGGAACAGTTACCGGACATTGTTTTTCTCTCTCTCTCTCGTTTCAGTGGAAGATTTTATTTTTTTAAAATTAATGTAGTGGAAATGATTTTATCTGATTTTCACTCACATACTGCCTTGAACATCGTAGGCGGATCCTGAGAAGGAGGGCAGGAAGGGTTGCCTCAGGGCTTAGTTCTCATGTGGCCCTTTCTTACACGCCCAGGGAAATGCTGATCGCCACTTTGGGGCCAGGAAGCCATTTTTCTCCAGGCCAGTTTGGCCAGGGATCCTGGAGGCTTTTTTGTCATCCTCTTGGCATGGAACAGGGGTCACTGGGGGTGCTCGGGGGGGTATTTGTGAATTTCCTGCATTGTGCAGGGGGTTGGACTAGATGACCCTGGAGATCCCGTCCAACTCTATGATTCTATGGACATCAGAACATAAGAGAAGCCAGTTTCGGATCTATGTGGTTCTATGATTCTATCTTCTGATGGAAAAGTGGTTGATCGATATCTGAAATGGATTTATTTAAAACCTCCCGAACCTGCCTTTCTCTTCAGACCCAAGGCAACTCGCAGAGGCTACA